TATTGCATTCAAAGCACCCCCGACAGATGGCCATCCAGCCTCTGTTTAAAAGCTTCCAAAGAAGGAGCCTCCACCACACTCCGGGGCAGAGAGTTCCACTGCTGAACGGCTCTCACAGTCAGGAAGTTCTTCATTATGTTCAGATGGAATCTCCTCTCTTGTAGTTTGAAGCCATTGTTCCGCGTCCTAGTCTCCAGGGAAGCAGAAAACAAGCTTGCTCCCTCCTCCCTGTGGCTTCCTCTCACATATTTATACATGGCTATCATATCTCCTCTCAGCCTTCTCTTCTTCAGGCTAAAAATGCCCAGCTCCTTAAGCCGCTCCTCATAGGGCTTGTTCTCCAGACCCTTGATCATTTTAGTCACCCTCCTCTGGACACATTCCAGCTTGTCAATATCTCTCTTGAATTGTGGTGCCCAGAATTGGACACTATTCCAGGTGTGGTCTAACCAAAGCGGAATAGAGGGGTAGCATGACTTCCCTAGATCTAGACACTATGCTCCTATTGATGCAGGCTTTTTTTTGCCGCCACATCACATTGTTGGCATTGTTTTTCTGATGATTTGATGTTTTTGTGCTTAATTTGTAAAATGATAACGTAATTTGACATTTAATAGGCTTTTCCTTAATCCCTCCTTATTAGCCAACATTTTCACTTAGCCAACATTCTGCTGGCCTGTTTAGGTTGGATAAGCAATACTCTACTGTATTTCAGAGTCATGGTCATGGTAGAGCACCTTGGATAGCTCCTTCAACATCTCCACTAAGGACCTGTAATGCAGTTTCATAATGTATCTTGTTGTATTATATTGGTTATGTTATTAATTGTTTATTTTTATTTATTTACAGTATTTATATGCTGCCCTTCTCACCCTGAAGAGGACTCAGAGCTGATCACAGAACACATATACGTTATACAATGACAAGACAGACAATTGTACATAGATAGAGGTTTATATAGGCTTTCCGATCTTTGGCGTCTTGGAGGCTGTGCTCAGTTCTGCTCACGGGGGGGGGGGTGCTGTAGTTCCATCTTCCTGCCAAAGAGCTTTATAACTTTGTAACTTCTTCCTTGATTGAATCGTCAGCATTTTTCTGGCATTTCCTTATGGGTGCCTTAATACCTCCCCACTTTTAAAGCGGTACCTATTTATCTACTCACATTTGTTTTTGAATTACTAGGTAAGCAGAAGCTAGGCTAAAGGCCAGGAGCTCACCCTGACCCAGACTTTGAGCTATCAACCTTTCAGTTGGTAAGATTTACTGCAGCTGGCGGTTAACCTACTGTGCTAAAGCCAAGTCCTAACATCCTACCTTATGTATTTTATTGTATTGTATTATATTCCTCAATCCCTTAGGGAGATGGGGTGGGATATAAATAAACTTTATTATTATTGCTGTTATTATTATTTGGTATTTTGCAGACTAACAGCATTATATGGTAGGGTTGATGCATATAATGCCGTCAATGCGGTGATAATAATCTATATGTCAGCATAGATGGGACTTAAGCGTTCCTCCACACTGTAGAATTAATGCCGTTTGACAGCACTCTAACTGGCATGGCTCAGTGCTATGGAATGATGGGATTTGTGGTTTGGCAAGGCACTGTCACTCTTGGACAGAGAAGGCTAAAGGCCTTGCAAAACTACATAACCCAGGATTCTATAGCATTGAGCCATGGTAGTTCAACTGGTATGGAGCCACATTCCCCCTGCAGAGTGATGGCAGCACCCATGGTCTTGGGCAGGCTCCAGACGGAAACACACTTGCGATGCCATTGTTGTTGTCGCCGCCGCCTTCTCCTACATTCCCGGCCCACTTGCTCCCTCTTTGCCGGTGGCTTCCCTCGGCCGTCTGTCGGCTGTGCTCATTTCCTCCGCAATAGCCTGCGCCTTTTCTTTTTTGTTCTCCTTTAGAAGCCAAAAGGCTGTTCAGTTCTTTTGATTATAAATACGCCAGAAAGAAAGAAAGGAAAAAAACACACACACACAACAGAATCGCCCAGGCCTGGAGCAATCTGCTATGATCAACCCATCGGAATAAGCCTCACACGGTGCTACATCGAGCCTTATTATTCATAGCCTTACGCATTGTCCTTCCTGTACATTAGAGAGGAAATAGAGGCAGATCCAGAATATGGAGGCAGCAGCTAAAGTCCTAATTTTTAGTCCCAAACCATTGAATTGGTTGACAGAGTGCGCATCCACACTGGAGAATAAATGCAGTTTGAGACCATGCCATGTCTCAATGTTATGGAATTGTGGGAGTTGTAGATTAGCACAGTTTTTAGTCTTCTCTACCAAAGACTGCCGGTGCCTCTCCAAACTACAGACCCAATGATTTCTTAGTATGAGCAGCTTAAGTGGTGACAAACTGCATTCATTCTCCAATGTGGATGCACCCAAAGTTGACTCAATAACAAAGTCAATAGCTTTGTGACCATTGTGTCTATTGCAGGCATATTGCCCATCCATATCCATTGATTCTTCATCCACAGATTCCACCATTATTGGAGGGAGCAGCGGAGAGATCAGAATAAGGGACACCATGGTGTTGTCAAAGGCTTTCATGGTCAAAATCACTGGGTTGCTGTCAGTTTTCCAGGCTGTCTGGCCATGTTCCAGAAGCATTCTCTCCTGCCGTTTCACCTGCATCTTTGGCAGGCATCCTCAGAGGTTCTGAGGTCTATTGGAAACTTGGCAAGTGAGGTTTGTATATCTGGTACAATTTAGTGTCGTCTGCAAACTTGATGATCATGCCTTCTGACCCTTCATCTAAGTCAGTGGTTCTCAACCTTGCTAATGCCGTGACCCCTTAATGCAGTTCCTTATGTTGTGGTGACCCCCAACCATAATATTGTTTTCATTGCTACTTGATACCTGTCATTTTACTACTGTTATAAATAGTAATGTAAATATCCAATATGCAGGATGGATTCACTGGACTAAATCGAGCACAAATACCTAATATGCCCAATTGTGAATGCTAGTGGGGTTGGGGGGGGGGGGGGGGGAATGATTTTGTAATTTGGGAGTTGTAGTTGCTGGGATTTATAGTTCACTTATAATCAAAGAGCATTCTGAACTCCACCAGCAATGGATTTAAATCAAACTTGGCACACAGAACTCCCATGACGATTAGAAAACACTGGAAGGGTTTTGTGGGCATTGACCTTGAGTTTGGGAGTTGTAGTTCACTTATATCCAGAGGAGTGCTGTGGATTAATGCAATGATGGATCTGGACCAAACTTGGCATGAATACTCATTATGCCCAAATGTGAACACTGGTCGAGTCTGGGAAAAACAGACCTTGACATTTGGGAGTTGTAGTTATTGGGATATAGTTCACCTACAATCAAAGAGCATTCTGTCCTCGACCAACAATAGAACTGGGTCAAACTTCCCACACAGAATCCCAATGACCAACAGAAAATACTATGTTTTCTAATGGTCTTTGGCGACCCCTTTGACACCCCCTCATGACCCCCTCAGGGGTCCCGACCCCCAGGTTGAGAAACACTGATCTAAGTCATTAATAAAGATGTTGAACAGGACCGGGCCCAGGACGGAACCCTGCGGATGGCACTCCGCTCGTCACTTCTTTCCAGGACGAAGGAGTGCATTTTGGAGTCATGTTCTTAGGGAGTTTGATGTTTTGGCATTTTGGTGTTATGGACGTTTTGGAACTTTGAGTTAGCAGGCTACATGGAAGCAGGGTCTGGCCTAACAGGTGTTCTTCTCCAAGGAGGGAGAAGAGGACAAGGTAATATTTGGATGCATGAGGATGGATGCATGTTCGTATGTTTATGAATTCTTAGTAAAAATGTAACCCCTTTCTTTGTTTGTTTGATAGTCCAATGTAACTGTAGGTTGTTGTAAATCCAGTGTAGTTGCAGAGAATCTGTATGTCTAAATGTTGTTTTGCAGAAGTCCTGCTATGCCCCCTCACACTGAAAATTGCAATAAAAAGAACCTGGTTTAAAAAGTATTCATGACAACCAGCCATTTATTCTCTTTTTTATTCTTTCTCAATTATCTCAAGAAATCGTATGTAAAGAAAATTTGTTAGCTAGTGTGAAAGGTTTACAGAGGGCCCTCAGCCTTTCTCAAGCAGGCTTTGCTTTTCGATTTCAACTTCTCCATCCCCAAACCAGGTGCTACTCAAGTCAGTCCTTGGGAGATAGATCAGGCAGTTCAATGATGCTTCCAAGCTATGATATTTGATGCCTTGGGCTCAAGGGATGCTGATAGGCTTCTATGAGAAATTCCTCGTACGCTTGATTCTCAATATTTTAGATATGGCAAAAGGAGGGCAGATCTAAAAGACTTTCCATCTTGAGGATGGCTTTAAAGCAGGCATGAGCAAACTTGGGACCTCCCTCCAGGTGTTTTGAACCTCAACTCCCACAATTCCTTCAGTATGTGGATAACACCCATTAGTATGTGGATGACATGCTCATAGCATGCTTGGGAATCCTCTTGGATTCATCACTTACGCTTGAGGCTCAGGCGTCGGCGGTGTCCGGGAGGGCTTTTGCACAACTAAGACTTGTGCGCCAGCTGCGACCGTACCTCGCAAAGGCTGATTTGGCCGGGGTGGTCCATGCCTTAGTCACCTCTAGATTGGATTACTGTAATGCGCTCTACGTGGGGCTGCCCTTGAAAACGGCTCGGAAATTCCAACTGGTTCAACGGGTGGCGGCCAGGATGTTAACTGGCACCCTTACAGAGAGAGGTCAACCCTCCTGTTTAAGGAGCTCCATTGGCTGCCGTTTACCTACCGAGCCCAATTCAAGGTGCAGGTGCTTACCTACAAAGCCCTAAACGGTTTGGGACCTGCCTACCTGCGTGACCGCATCTCCGTATATGAACCCACGCGCTCCCTCCGTTCATCCGGAGAGGCCCTGCTCACGATTCCACCTGCGTCGCAGGCTCATTTGGTGGGGACGAGGGACAGGGCCTTCTCTGTGGTTGCCCCCCGACTATGGAACACCCTCCCCAAAGACATTAGACTAGCACCCACGTTGGCAGTCTTTAGGAAGAACTTGAAGACCTGGCTATTCCGATGTGCCTTTCCGGAATAGGATAACCTCCAGCACTACGTCCCAGAAGCACTTTATTAGAGCTTAAGACTCTCTGCACATTGCACTTGCCCAGAATCCCAACATATCACCTCTTACACCCAGCACTTTTTAACCTGTACCCTTCATTGGCCTGGCCCTGGTTTTATTGCGTAATAGTGTAATGTTGTTGTTGTTATTGCTTATGTTTTTAATTTGCTTGTATTATATTGTTATTGTCTGTTGTTGTTGTGTTGAGGCCTTGGCCTTTGTAAGCCGCATCGAGTCCTTCGGGAGATGCTAGCGGGGTACAAATAAAGTTTAATAATAATAATAAGAATAATAATAGCACAAGCTTGGGCCAAGTTGGGCCCTCCAGGTGTTTGGACTTCAGCTCCCGCAATTCCTTCAGTACATGGATGACATCCTTTAGTTATGTGGATGACATACTCGTAGCACAGGAATGGGTCAATTTGGGTCTTCCCTCTGGGTGTTTTGGACTTTAACTCCCACAATTCCTAACAGCCTTAAGTGGTTGAGGGAGGCAAGGAAGGGGCCTGAGGCTGTTAGGAATTGTGGGTGTTGAAATCCAAAACACCTGGAAGCAGGGCCCAAGTTTGCCCATGTCTGCTTTAAAGGATAGCCATATCTCAAAGGCAGTTCTTTGTGCCAACTTTAATCAAAGTGAAATGGAAGTTGGCGAGGAATTTGAGGTGCATCCAGCCAAAAGAGACCATTCTACAACCTTTCAATAGAGTCAGACAAAACAACTGGACAGTCTGTGACCGAAATTAAATCATTTTAGATGCCCACAAGCCAGCAAGTATTGAAACATTGGGAAATTTGCAAAGTTTTCCTGCCAGGCTTTTAGTCCTGGATGAACTTCTACTTTCAGAAGCAAACCAAGGTCAGAGCTAGTGCAAAAAAGGGGTTGTGCCAAAAAGAAAATTAGAAAAGGTTTGTTTTGCACACATTTCAAAAAGGAAACCCACCAGAAAAATATACTTTTTTGTAATTATCCAAAAAGTGTGTAAAATCTCTCAAAACCCCATTCATCGAGGTAAAAACCGTGCATGTGCACCTACATTTGCAAGGTTTACTTTGTGCAGATTTGATTGTTTGTGGATTTGATTAATTACGTTCTCTGTAGGAAACTCTAATTTCTCCAGCGTGACCAAAAGGTCAACCTCTATTGGAATTGTCCATAGAATTACACTGGAGGCATTCTCTCAAATAAAATAATAATAATGGTGTTTTTAGTTCATAGTTTTTTACAGCTAGCCTCCCCGCCCCCATAAAATGGAGAGCCTATTCTTTTTCTGTATGCAGAATAAAACAAGTGAAAATTTTCATCCTAATTCCTTCACTACTGTGCACATAACGGTAACACCTCTACCTGTTTCCACCCATTTTTGCTGCATCTTCAACTATAGAGAGCCTTCCTGAGTAGCAATGCTATTTAGGCTATATATTTTTTTGCAATATCATACCTGGGAGAAACCCGGAGTCACTCCATTGGGCCCATCCGTGTCTCACAAAATTAGGCACAAGGGCCAAATGTGGCTCATGGACCACATTGTCCTACTATGGTCTCAGTTCTGTGTGTCTTTCAACCTGCGAACCAGCTTCTGGGAAGGGCTTTCCAGACATATTGCTGTATCCCACCTTTCCAGTGCCATCCCTTCCCTATGATCATCATTGATGAAGCATTATTGTTACGCCGATGCATTGAAGCTGTTGATTCCCCCTGTGCAGATATTTGTGCTGAGGGAAGGGTTCGCAGAAGCTGTTGCATTGGGAGATGGTGCATTGCTGGTGCATCTCTTGTTTTGTGCACAGCGGGGTTTTGTTTATTATCCTGGCCAAACTACCGGGTGGGAGAGCCATTGGGGTCAGGCAGGAAGCTCTCGTTCTCGTTGAAGGTGTCGCTCTCGCCTGACGTGTTGGCATTCCTCATCCTCCGTATCCGGGACTGCAGCCTCTCGTGCTCCCTCCGCAGTTCGGAGTAGGAGTGGGAGAACGTGTGGAAGATGGAGGTGGCTGGGAAGGACATGATGAGGATGCCACTCAGGATGCTGCTCAGGGCCACCATTTGGCCCGGGACGCTCCGGGGGACCATGTCTCCGTAGCCCACCGTGGTCATGGAGATGATGGCCCACCAGTAGGAGGCTGGGATGCTGGTGAACTCCAAGATCTTCCCAGACTCGTTCTCGGCCAGGTAGACCAAGGGTGAGAAGAGGGTGACAGCCACGCAGAGGAAGAGCAACAGGAGACCAAATTCCCGTGCGGAGCGGCGGATGGTGAGGCCCAGGGTCTGCAAGCCCAAGGAGTGCCTGGCCAGGCGCATGACGTACAGTATCCTCAAGGCACGTAAGACCCGCAGCACCAAGCCCACCTTCTCGAGGTACGAGTTCCCGCTGGGCTTGTCATCGTCCTCCATGGACTCGTCATCCAGGACGATGAGGGAAGCGTAGTAGGGAGAGATGGCCATAAAGTCGATGATGTTCAGCGGCCCCTTGAAGAACTGGCACTTGCTCTTCGCTTGGATGAAGCGGAGGCAGAACTCCAAGGAGAACCAAGCCACACAGATGGTCTCCACAATGAAGATGTAATAGCACTTTTGGGAACATTCACCCTATGGAGAGGAAACAGAGAGAGGGAGACAAAGGTGGCCCAAATCAATCAATGCTTCTCCTAGTTTACTAACCACAATGAGAACACTTTGGAAACATATCTCAGAGCAGGACTTAATTGAACAGCCTTGGTGAAGCCCAACGCTGTTCCAACAAGGGAGGGAAAAATATATTCTACAGAAGCCTTTTGAAAATAATATTTAATAGGCACAAACTCATTATCGTTTCTATAACTGACATTCTGGCACTCTGAGCAAACAGATTTCCATCACTTGAGGGGAAACGCATCGCAGAGAGGAATAATAATAATGTGAGCCCCTCAAGGAGTCCTTGGCATTATAAAGAAACCAGAACCTGTTCTCTCAAAGGACTCCATATTGACTTTGCAGAGGAGTCAGGCTTTGTAAGCAGAAGGTTTCACATTCACTTCCCAGTCTCTCTGGATCAAGAAGCCAGTGAGGGCTTCCATGTCAGTGAAGGAATGAATCCACTTAGGGTTTTATTATGAGCGATGATATGGCAACATCACTCCTTTATGGGACCTTGCCATATATTATCAGGAGGAGTAGTTGGTCCACTGTAGAAGCCCTTTCCTAAAATAGACAGTGAATAAGCAATCAACCTCAGGTTTATTTAATGCCACCCTGGAACACATAAAGATATTAAACATGTCCCCTAGTATTTTAAGGGCATAGGGTGAAAATTAGGAGAGGAGTAAATAAGCTGCCTTGAAAGGCACTCTCCAAGTTTTCAAACTGTGCTCTCTTCATTACCACTTTGACTGTGCTTTTCCTGGAATTGCTCCTATCATCATCATCATCATCATTAAAATTACAATTATTACTATTATTATTACTGCAAATGCTGGGTGGTCATCTGTTAGGGCAACTCGCTTCTGACACGACAAAGAAAAATCTGTTAGGAGAATTTGTGCCTTTCCTGCACTACAGAAACAGGTTGGACTGGGTTACCCCTGGGGTTGCTATTGTTGTTGTTGTTATATCTAATTTGTTGTCAATCCATTCCTTTGGGCTTCATGCAAATCTACCATTCGCCAAAATATACGTTCTGGTGCTTTTCCTTTCCATTTCTAGCTGAACAGCTTAACCATTGGTTCGTCCCATGGGACAAACCAACCAACCTATCATTATGATTATTACTATTATTACTGCAAAGACTGGATGGCCCTGGGCTTTTCCACTGAAATTCTGTTAAGTTTATGTTGGTTAAAATTGTTCTGCATTTTAAATATTGCATCTTTCTTTCTTTCTTTTTTTCTTTCTTTCCACTACAAACTAGATATCTGCAGTATCCATAGAAATTTGTTCATGTTTTTTTCAGTTAGTTCATCGAAGGTGATCCGTGATGGAGACCAGCACAGTCTCTGTCCCATGCCCCGCACGGAAGCCAGACTGTGTGTCGTTGTTGTTGTTGTTGCTGTTGTTGTTGTTGTTGTGTGCCTTCAAGTCATTTCTAATCATGGCAATGCTATCACTGGGTCTGACACCACTTTGAACATCTTTGGCTGAATGTTATGGAATCAATTGAGCAATCATTTTCAAGGTGGCACAGTGGGTTAAACTGCTGGGATGCTGAACTTACTGACCGAAAGGTCAGCTGTTAGAATCTGGGGAGCGAGGTGAGCTCCCACTGTTAGCCTCAGTTCCTGCCAACCTAGCACTTCAGAAACATGCAAAATGTGATATCAATAGTTATTGCTTCTGCGGGAAGGTAACGGTGCTCCATGCAGTCATGCTGGCCACATGACCTTGGAGGTGTCTATGGATAATGCTGGCTCTTTGCCTTAGAAATAGCGATGAGCACCAGAGTCCCAGAATCAGACACGACTAGACTTAATGTCAAGGGGAAACCTTTACTTTTACCTTTCAAGGTTTGTAGCCCACAGCTCCCAGAATTGCATTGTAAAGGGCCAGGGTAGTTAAACTGGATTAATTGGACAGTATAGAGGCCCCCAAAGCAAGGAGGTGGCCATCTGGGGTTGATGCCAAGGGTTTCTTTGAGACGTTCCTCCTCCTTCTCCATTGGAACAGAATGTCAGTTCCCAGGTTTCCCTGGGGAAAAGTCCCGAGGCTCCAACTGGATAACAAACAGTTGATTCACCCTCCCACCAGCCACCTGCTACGCTTGGATCTTCACATACCACTCTTTGGTGGCACAAACGTCTCACGGGGAAAAAGAATAGCTCAAAAAGGACTCTTTATTCATTTCCTAGATCAAGCATGGGCCAACTTGCGCCCTCCCCTCCAGCTGTTTTGGACTTCAACTCTCACAATTACTAACAGCCTCAGACCCTTTCCTTTCCCCCCTCAGATTGTTAAGTGGAAAAGGAAAGGAAAAAGGAAAAGGAAGGGGCCTGAGGCTCTTAGGACTTTAGCACAAGCCATCATGGGGGTCCCAGTGGTGATTGGCACACTGGGTGCAGCGCCTCAAGACCTTGGCCTGCACTTAAAAACAATCAGCGCTGACAAAATCACCACCTCTCAGCTGCAAAAGACCACCCTACTCAGATCTGCACACATTGTTCGCTGATACAGCACACAGTCCTAGACACTTGGGAAGTGTCCGATGATCCATAGTGATCTTGTTTGCTTGTGTTGTTGTGAATCAAATAATAATAATAATAATAATAATAATAATAATAATAATAATTCATTTACTCAAAGTTCTGAGAGTGCCTTGGACTGCGAGAAGATCCAACCAGTCCATCCTCCAGGAAATAAAGCCCGACTGCTCATTGGAGGGAAGGATACTAGAGACAAAGTTGAAGTACTTTGGCCACATCGTGAGGAGACAGCAAAGCCTAGAGAAGACAATTATGCTGGGGAAAGTGGAAGGCAAAAGGAAGAGGGGCCGACCAAGGGCAAGATGGATGGATGGCATCCTTGAAGTGACTGGACTGACCTTGAAGGAGCTGGGGGTGGTGACGGCCGACAGGGAGCTTTGGCGTGGGCTGGTCCATGAGGTCACGAAGAGTCGGAGACGACTGAACGAATGAACAACAATGCTTTTATGTCATGCTGCTGTGAGTCCCCTTTGGCAAAGTGGGATACAACAACAACAACAACAACAACAACAACAACAACAACAGGGGCTTTGTCAAGCTATATGATTCTAATCTGTAGCTTTGACCCATGAAAGGCAAAACAGTGCCAAGCCAAACTGCATTTAGTCTACAGTGTGGATGCACCCTGTGATTCAAGGCGGCCTCTTGCCAGCAAAGTTCTCCCACATTTGCAGCCAGGCATTACTTAATATTCAGAACATCGACACCTCTTCATGAACAAATCTTTCAATTAAGTAGTGAGAGCGTAGACAGAGAGAGAGAGAGAGAATCAAAAGTTTCTCGCTCGAAATGTCAAAGCAGAAAGAGCTGCAGTGCAGAGGTGAGGCAAGGTGAGGAGGATTTCATTGCAGAGATTGGGCAGCGTATGAGCTGCCCAGTCTCCAGATATGATTTTATGGCAAAGATAGACAACATATGGGCTTCCAGATGCTGCTGGACTTCAAGGAATGATGGGACTTGCAGCCCAACAGCATTCGGAGGACTTTACATCCCCACTCCTGATCTAAAGGTTTTTAAAATGTGTCTTTATGGAGTGAAATCTCCAGAAGAGCTTGGAATTTCCATTCCAGATTTGCAGTAGGGATAAGGGCTACCTCGAAATAGTGAAGTTTTACATTGTTCTGGTTTTGAAGTCCTTTGAGAGGTTCCAGATGTGGCACCATTCAGGATTGGTGTCTTTGGGGTCAGAATGATAGGCTTTGGGGTTGTTTTCATAGAATCATAGAATCAAAGAGTTGGAAGAGACCTCATGGGCCATCCAGTCCAACCCCCTGCCTAGAAGCAGGAATATTGCATTCAAATCACCCCTGACAGATGGCCATCCAGCCTCTGTTTAAAAGCTTCCAAAGAAGGAGCCTCCACCACACTCCGGGGCAGAGAGTTCCACTGCTGAACAGCTCTCACAGTCAAGAAGTTCTTCCTCATGTTCAGATGGAATCTCCTCTCTTGTAGTTTGAAGCCATTGTTCCGTCCTAGTCTCCAGGGAAGCAGAAAACAAGCTTGCTCCCTCCTCCCTGTGGCTTCCTCTCACATATTTATACATGGCTATCATATCTCCTCTCAGCCTTCTCTTCTTCAGGCTAAACATGCCCAGCTCCTTAAGCAGCTCCTCAAAGGGCTTGTTCTCCAGACCTTTTATCATCTTTAGTCACCCTCCTCTGGACACATTCAAGCTTGTCAATATCTCTCTTGAATTGTGGTGCCCAGAATTGGACACAATATTCCAGGTGTGGTCTAACCAAAGAGAATAGAGGGGTAGCATTACTTCCCTAGATCTAGACACTATGCTCCTATTGATGCAGGCCAAAATCCCATTGGCTTTTTTTGCCACCACATCACATTGTTGGCTCATGTTTAACTTGTTGTCCACGAGGACTCCAAGATCTTTTTCACACGTACTGCTCTCAAGCCAGGCATTGTCCCCCATTCTGTATCTTTGCATTTCGTTTTTTCTGCCTAAGTGGAGTATCTTGCATTTGTCCCTGTTGAACTTCATTTTGTTAGTTTTGGCCCATCTCTCTAATCTGTCAAGATCGTTTTGAATTCTGCTCCTGTCCTCTGGAGTATTGGCTATCCCTCCCAATTTGGTGTCGTCTGCAAACTTGATGATCCTGCCTTCTAACCCTTCATCTAAGTCATTAATAAAGATGTTGAACAGGACCGGGCCCAGGACGGAACCCTGCTTGTGGCACTCCGCTCGTCACTTCTTTCCAGGATGAAGAGGAAGCATTGGGGAGCACCCTCTGGGTTCGTCCATTTAACCAATTACAGATCCACCTCACTGTAGTTTTGCCCATAGAAAAGTTGCAACTGGGGGCATTCAACTTCTGACCCCTGAAATATAACATATAACCGCCACAGGGACTGCAAAATCACACTTTCTGCACCACTGCCTATTAGAATACTTGAATATTAGAA